GTACCTGGACGCCCATCCCCGGACACAAAGAACCACCAACGCACCGATGTCTGAGGGAGTCCGCCCCCGGCAGGGGAAGTGGTGGGGGGAGATATGCCTCCAAACCTTGGAGGGCCTGAGATGTCCCCAGAGAGGTGGCGTCTGAAACCCAACCGACATAAAGAGACACAATCACACTCCCCAAGCGTACTCTAAGCCCCACGTCTAGGTACTCATGCCCCTGGAGGGGGAAACTGCACCTGGACCCAGGTGGTGTTACCCTTTTCCCTGCGGTGGGGAGATGCAGACCGCCCCGACTTCGCAGCAGCAGGGAGGAGACCCCAGTCGGATGGCCAACACCTCCTCCTAGCCCCCCCGCTCCAGCAGGCTGCAGAGAACGGGGGTGTGGGAAGACTCCCCACACCCCCGTGTGAACATATATATTTTAAGTATGCAAAAAAAACCCAAAGCCTCTGTTATTCTGGTGTGAGATTTTTATCCTTTATTATTAATCAAGCTGCTGAAGTAATTCAACTTATGTTTTAGTAATCCGATTTAATTTAATTTTGAATTATCACTGTCTATATAAAAGCTTAATTATTACCACTGATGTAAAATATTATGCCTTAAAACTAACAGGACAGGCTTGTTTCTATCTTCAGCCTACAGAGCAAATCAAGTCAGCTGACTGATCTAGGCACTGAAAGTGCACTGCAGGGTTTGTCTGCTGTAAAAATAAACCCGATCAAGTGAAGTGACAAAGTTAAAGGAAGATGTTTCCAAATCTACCTTGGACCTTTAGGCGGGCCAAGGTTTAGCCGTTTAAATCCAGTTGGCAGGCAGCAGGTGGAGGATATATCTGCTGCATTCAGCGGGGGATTTAAATACACTTAAAGTGAGTGTTGACTGATCCACCATCTGCTCCACTGTCAACCAGTCTACAGAAACCCATCAACAGAGTGCACTGAACCAACCGAAGTCTGTATCAGTACAGAAAAGCATGATGGGAAAGCAACTGTCTGAACCCCACTGAAAGGTCACAACCTGTGTGACACTCCACACTTTTAATTTTGTGCGTCTAGATTTTTCTTTTATCTTGTCTAATATTTGTACTGTCACATCATTTACAGTTACATCCTTTTATAAACTCAATCTCTGAAACAAACTAGGAGGGCACAGGGAACGCATTCTGTTTTTCAGTGCATTCAAACACACTCCATCTCACTTCCTACCTTGGCTCATAATGATGAGTGGTGACAGTGCTAACGTCCAAGCTACCATGCTAATGCTAGACCCCAGTTACAGAGGCCTATAGACTGTCAACAACCATCTGCAAGTAGTTACTAGTAAGGAAAAATGTGTATTCTTCAATTTGTTGGAACGGTTGCTGGAGATGCATGGCAGTTGGTGGGTGAAACTGGTTGCAAAGCAGTATATTGTGCTGTACTACACCAAAACCTTGTTTTGCGTTTGCTTTAATTGCTCATGAATCACATAGGCTGCCCATACTTTGGATGGAAGATTCCAACTTCTCTGCAAACAACCAGACAAACTGAGGTAGTGAAGAGGTAGTGAAACCTTAAAGGTGGAAATGTTCACCTTCAAAGTAAAAGTTGCACTTTTTGAAACATGTTGAATGTGAATATTCTCATTTTCAGTTTTTGTCACACTTTTTCAACTTTGACTACCACTCGGTGAGTATTTGGCAAGTGTTTGCAGACAAGCTGGTGTCTTTGAGGCAATATACAAGTATATTAAGGAATCACATAGAGCTATTCGGTAGAGCACCCTCTTTGCAACCAGTTTCACCTAGCGACAGCCAGCAATCACTACCCAACCACTGGAACCCCGATGGGTCTCTGAGTGTGTGTGACTAAGACTTCATAAAGAATTGTGTTCAATGTATCATAGGTCGCACTGGTATAGAAAGGGCCCTTTACTCTATTCAGTGTTTCTGCATTGCATTCTTATCTCAGAAATTCAATTACTGGTTAGAGTTAGCACCACATCTACTTTGTTAGGTTTACAAAGACATTAACCCTGCAACCCTGAAAATATGGATACCAAGTGTACAACGTACTAACTGTACAGCATCCTTGTTGGCTTTTAATGCCCATAAGTATGTTTAAATGGTATTCATGAAGCAGCATGAGGGGAATTTCTGCCATGGTTATGGAGACGTTTTAGAAATGAGCTGCTTTCATACTTTTTCTATAAAAATTATTAATTACTTTAATATTTTTACTCATTTATTTAGCCAAAAAGCTCTGACTGTTTTAGGTCCTACAATGACTTATTTTAAGTGAGTACAAGCTGATTCATAGTCTAAACAGAGTTCAAAAAGTGAACTCTGTTATATAATCATCATCAACAACAACAGCAGCTGTGATGTTGACTTGTTGATGGCGATGGGTCTGTTCTACCTGATTAAGATGACATAAGTAGCTACCTGCAGAAATCCTCTCCACCCACTGCTTTTCTGTCAGGCGGAGCTGTACTGATTTTCTAATGCAGGACAAATTTAGAGCCACATACCGTAAGCTCTCCCTTGGCAAACAGCTGATGTCTCTTCTATAGAAGTAAAACATCTTAAATCCTGTGCTGACGTGCTGAGGCCTAACTTCATCATCCCGCCCTCCTCTTGGCATCATTAACCACAGTTCCACGGATCATTTGGATTTTACCACTGGACACATGGCAGAGCCAGAGAGGATGAAGAAGACATGCAATGTCAGCTTTCAAGAATAAATAACTTCCTGCACCAACAACAAAAAAAACCCCAACCTCTGAACTTGTTCGGATTTAGTCTGACTCGAATAGTGCTGGAATAAAAAACAGCTAATGCAGGCTAATGTTAGCTAGCTATAGTTAGCAAGCTAAAATCACTACGAGTTCTATAAAATGTATTACTGTTTCAGTATATTTTAGCATGCCACGGATAAATATTTCACAGTTTTTTAGAAAGTGAAAACAAGAATTGACACCTTGGTGATATTATCCCTCATATTTGACCGATTTGAAAGTTTGACTGACCTAAGATTTCATGACTTTGTTTACAACATTTGTACCCTCTTTGTGTTTCCAGTCCAAAATGACCAGTCATTAGAAACAAATGGGGGAGACAACTTATACATACATACGGACACACAGAAGCATGCATGTGCACACACACACACACACACACCAACCACTATCGGAACCTTTGCCCAGTCAATCCTCTCCTCCATAGGAACAGCTCATGCGTTGGCAGTTCTCACAAACAGCTGCAACATTGTTTCAATTGCACTGAACGTTTCTTGTAGCTTTGGTGTATAATGCTTTTTTGATGCCTTGCTCACAAGTCACTGTGTGGCATGACCACTCTTTATGACATATTTGATCACTACACTTGTGAGGAGGACAGAGAATCTGAATTTTTCAGGCCTCTATGTCACTTCAGATTTGATATGTTGTTACTGGTGATTCGCTTTGACAACATGATACAAAACCAGGCCGTCATCAACAAGACAAGCTGACATGATGAGCGAGGTTTAGGACAAGTGTGTGGAGCGCCGGCCACTCATCACTGTCTTAAGTCCAAACATCAGAGTGGCTTTTGGGAGATGCTGACCTTTCATTTGTTT